GGCACAACCCTGTATATATTACAGGTGAGGCGTGATTAGCTGTCAAATACTGGAATCTGATATCCAAAAGCAGAGCAACTATGGCAGATTTTGATGAACAAAAAATCTATTTCTCCTAAGTCGACCAAGTTAAGTCGAAAAATGTCAACCGTTTTAACACCTGTCAAAACCCTGCCAAACAGCAGCACTCATCTTTTCCAGTTTTCAATATTTTATGTTGTCATTTGACATTTTCAACTTATATGTAAAGTCTGAATTTAAAAATTGAAAAAAAAATGACAGCTGTCAAAATGTGACGTGCATGAACTTTGTTCAATGTTTTATCATCAATAAACTACCTTAAAACGAGAAAGGACCAGATTAGAGTATTTTTTTCTACTAAAACAAATGACAGGTTTTGACAGTTCTGTCATTTTTTTTTCATTTTTTGAATTCAGAAGGATAAAGGATTGGACGAGATTTTTGACATTTGATGATTCTTTCATTTATTTTTTGAATTTAGAATTTACATATAAGTTAAAAAATGTCAAATGACAACATAATATATTGAAAACTGGAAAAGATGAGTACTGCCGTTTGGCAGGGTTTTGACAGGTGTTAAAATGGTTGACATTTTTCGACTTAACTTGGTCGACTTAGTAGAAATAGATTTTTTGTTCATCAAAATCTGCCATATAGTTACTCTGCTTTTGGATATAAGATTCCAATATTTGACAGCTCTAACCACGCCTCACCTGTTATATATACAGGGTTGTGCCCATGGTAAAAAATGTTGCTTACGGCATCCCCAATAACATATTTAAATTTCATCCAAATATCACGGGTAACCAATTTCCATTTAAATATTGCCGGGTCCTTTAATAATTATGGCAGTTTTGGGAGAACGTGATATGTTTTATCGAGCGGCGATGAAGCGATGTGTGTTTGGTGATTGTAAAAGTGATAGTCGAACGAGTTCCATTAAATTAACGACCCCATTTGCCTCTACTGGAGTTTTAGGTAACACAGCACCTGTCACATCACTTTCTGTTAATTTTATCAAACGTTTTGCAATCAAAGAAGCCATAGCGAATGCACCGAATACTTACGAAAGCGTAGATTTGACAAGATGCTGTGTACGGCCGCTTCGATCTCTGATCGATACAGCGCGGACTAAACTCAAGACAGTGGTGGAAATAATGAAAAAATATTATCACATATTATTATAAATCGCATCGCGGTGACGCAAAATAGAAACTGCTACTGTAGAAAGCAGATTGGAACATCTTTCTCGGTCGTGACTGCGAACTGGGCGGACTGCAATTATGTAATGTAGCATTTAAATGTATTACCAGTACGGCCAGTCAAGGATAAACTGCTCCAAAAAAGCACTGCTATTTGTCACCGTGACAGGACTGGAGCAGTCACGTGTCTTGTCACAGTTCCAGTAAAATCGCAGGTTGGCTCACCTCTACCTATATCTTCTATTAGACAAAACCGACACCATAATAGTGTTTTCGAATTTGCGATGATGCGAGATGCAGTAAAAAGGTAAACACAAAGCTTATGATACAAACATTTTTAGTTACTGTATATTTATAAAATTAGAATTAAAAAAATAAGTTTGTTTGAAGATATCTCAATTTTTGTATTGTTCAATTACCTCCTTGACCCCCTTAAGGAATGTCATTGCATCTAATTTTGATTTTTTAAAAATAAGTTCTGTTATCGTTCTAAACAGTTGCTCGGTAAATTTTAGCAAGTTTTTTCAACAAATGTTTTGCTTTGCAATTAACTGTTTTGAGCGTTTACAGTACTTTATTTTTAATAAATCTTAAATAAAATCAAAGTTAATAATTTAATTATTCAAAAAAGCCGCCTTTTCACTGTCGGTAAAGAAGAAACCCGCATTCAAACAATGTTCACTCTTTTATTGCTGTCCGTAGCCACCAGGGGCGCTAACGTCGACATTGTGCCAGTTAAGTCCAGGGGAATGACTTCTCTCGTAGTTTACTACTATTTGCTACTATTATATTTCTCTATGGTTGTATTCCTTTCAAGAGTTTGAAACACTTGAGCTACTCGCTCCGGTGTTTAGTCGCCCCCGATTTGCAAAGAACGATGCGTGGTGCAACAAACATTTTTCGAAAGGAATAAGCGCGTGAAGCCCCGGAGCAGTTCCGGAGCTCTCCTAGGTGTGAAAGGAATAAAACTTATTATGATGTTAAATGAACCTGAATTAGCTCCTGCGTTTTTCTGACTGGTATTAAAATCCACCATTCTATGTCGGTCATTGTCATTTTCTAATCAGTAAACAAAGATAGCTAATTCATCGGTGAAGTCACAGGTTAGAATAAAAACGAGGGGGACGTTGAGAAATGGCGATATGGGCGCCAGGGATGTGCGTCTACACGTAGACTTTCATTGTCTACTTTACGTGTAGATAATGTAGACAATGTAGACAACGTTTCAACAATGTAAAATAATATAAATGACGTTTAATTCTAACCTCACACTTTCCTTTTTTTAAATTATTTTTATTTTATTATTGGTTTTCCTGATATTTTATAATCAGTGAATGCTAATATCGAAGTGATAGTGATAGTATAGTAGCTTTTGATATTTTTTTTCGAATTTTTTGAAGTAAGTTATTGTCTACGCCGCATGTAGACAATGTGTAGACAAATGCTCACGTAAACAATTCGAATTGTCTACGCGTAGACAATCAATTGTCTACAGGCACATCACTGATGAGTACCCAAGACATGGAAGAAAAAGCCTTGTTTTCTTTTTTTTTTTCTCGCACATTTTCGTTTAGTTTTTCAGTATCACACGACATGTTTGCACTTCGCTGTACTGATGCAGATCGCGCGAACTAGGCGGAAAAATGATGCAGGCAGCGTTCTACCGCCGATCAGGGATGTGCGTCTACACGTAGACTTTCATTGTCTACTTTACGTGTAGATAATGTAGACAATGTAGACAACGTGTAAACAATGTGAAATAATATAAATGACGTTTAATTCTAACCTCACACTTTCCTTTTTTTTAATTATTCTTATTTTATTATTGGTTTTTCTGATATTTTATAATCAGTGAATTCTAATTTCGCAGTAATAGTGACAGTATAGTAACTTTTGATATTTTTTTTCGAATTTTTTAAAATAAGTTATTGTTTACGCCGCATGTAGACAATGTGTAGACAAATGCTCACGTAAACAATTCGAATTGTCTACGCGTAGACAATCAATTGTTTACGTTGACATTGTCTACAGGCACATCACTGATGGGCGCACAGCGGTTTAGTCACGAACTAAAACAAAAAGTGGAGGGGATGAATCCAGTGAATGTTCTATTTAAGAATATAAAATCACTTTTCTATGAACGCGAGTTTTCTATTCAAAAAAAGCAACTTGCGACCGGTTGCTGGTTGCTATGTAATTGCTGTTCGTAAAGACTAGAGCCGTTTTCTCGCGTCCACTTTTTTGACATTGGTTCAAAACAGTTTTGAAACGGGCAATGGTGTTATAGTCGTATTCACGATAGAGTTTGAATTTTGACCGTTATTTCCACCAGTTGAAAATAAATAAAATCCCCAGATCTGTCCCTTTTTCTGACAACTATCAAATAATGATACATGACATTTTGATTTGACACATAAAAATATCAGATTCGGGTCTCTGAATTTTGAATTTCGAATTTTTGTGTGAAATCTTTCAGTTTTTTGCCGTTTTCTGCATTATTTTTTTATTTGTTATTATCGCAATCGGTTTTTTGGTTTTTTATGTAGTGTTCTGTGCCTTTGTGTTTCGGTGTTGCGTTTCAAACCTGGTTTAGTTTGGATTTAAGTGTTTACTCTTATTATAAGTGTTTACTTTCGACTCTAATTTTAGGATTTTTGGATTTTAATAACTTCACTTCCTTTAAAGAAATTGAAAATAAATTTTTATTCTGAAATTTATATCACTTTTCTAAATACGACCCTGTCGTTTATCCCAGCTGACCGAATCGAAGCGCTAATGCATGCTCACCACGAGGCTGTGTCACCACCTAAAGAAAAAGTTCACTAAAAATGTCAACGCGAACTGTCAACTTCACTTTCTATCGTGATTTAGGGCGGGTATTATAAAACTGCTTTGACAGTTAACTTGAAGTTAACTTTTTGAATTACATGTAATTCCAGAAGTTAACTTTAAGTTAACTCTCAAAGTAGTTTTATAATACCCGCCCTAAGTCTATACCATTGCCCGTTTCAAAACTGTTTTGAACCAATGTCAAAAAAGTGGACGCGAGAAAACGGCTTAGGCCTGCGGGTCGTTCGTGTATTAATTTTTCACTCTAATCACTCCTAGATCACGTGACAAAAATCTGTTCTTACTCCACTCCAACTCCGTGCTGAATAGCCGAACCCAGCTATAATAAAAGAACGCGAATGAGCCTGCACCGCGCACACTTTTTAAATAAACGAACGACAAATTCAAGCTCAGAGAGCAAGATCAAAATACCGAACGAAAGGTTTATTGTTTTGATCTTTGATCCATCGACTTTGATAGAGCAAAAAAGAGTGCTCCGTGCTAGATTTGAGAGTGTTCTATTGCCCAAGTCGAACACGCGAATCTCGCCGAGAGCAACGCCTCGTTCTAACCTGAACATGTGAATCCGTTTCGGATTGCTTGATCAATCAGGTGCAGTTTTGAGGCAAAAGTCGAAAACGCTATAACATAGGTGCTTACGTTGCCCAATGAAAAACTAAAATTGCCTCGATAATATTAATTTATAGTGTCTCTATCGACTCGTTTTGTGTAAATATTGGTTGAATTTATTTGAATAATTTTATAATTGGGCCTATTCACTTAAATCTGAGTGAATTAGTTGTATTTTGTGCTAGCCGTTTAAAAAAACCGCTTAAAAGGCACCGGAAACGGAATCGATGTCAAACTTGGGGCCGATAATGCGCGAACTTCGTGCGCACGACTGTCGACATTCCTTTTGGCATTTAACGTGTTGTAGAAGTACCGGTTTTTGCCCAGTGTCATATTTTCTTGGATTTTTTCCCCTTTTTTTCTAAATTTATTCAAAGCGAATGTGGCACAGTTGTGTAGAACGGTTCCCGATAGTTTTCAGTGCGTGTGTACGGACTGATTTGACCACTTGAAAGTGTGGAATAAGGTGAGAAAAAGTGTGGCCTTTGTTATCTGTATGATGTTTTGTTGCAATATAAAATGGAATCTTGGTAAACACGTGGACGAAAATTTCTTTGATTTTCCGTTTGTTGCAATGAGATTATTTATTAGAATCGAAATTTATATTAGCATAGCCGCATTTAATAACTATCTGTCCATGTGTAACATAACATCAGGACAAATTAAATAAGGTACATTCACATCATGACCTCGAGAGAATTCTGTAACATTTTTTTTTAAACTCGTTAATTAATTAACCACAAAATTAAATATTAGATGATGGTATATCAATATATAATTAATTCCAAAAATGATTTATAATATCATTCAATGAGTCACAATTAATGTTTCCTTTGCCCCTTAAATCCTATGTAAAACTTGAATAGTAGGAATGTGGACAAGATTCAACTTGATATCTGTCTGAAAGTTCAAGTAGTTCTCTTTATTAATCAGCAGAGGTTACACGTTACACCATATTTTCCTTGCTTCACGTTTTGGTAAGATTTTTTTCTCCTTGTTTTATAGATATTTATTTTGAGAAGTTTTGCAGTAAGTTCTCCAGATGTGAGAAGTACGACTTCCACAAGGACTTCTCATTCTATTAGATTTTTTTGTAGATACATATATTCATTCTATCACTAGTGATGTAATAAAATGATCCTATTTATGTTTGAATTGATGTATTTGAGCATTCTTAAATTCAAAAATTATCACAGATATATATTCAGTTACTTGAGCACTCAGTTTATACTTAGACTCTGAGATAGGGATGTTACCTCGGATAACTGTGGTTTCACTGTAGTTCTTTCAACACCCTCAATATAAGTATTTTATTATTATTCTCATTCCCATAGATTTACAGCAAAATTAGAGCAGTGATTTGGTTATACCAACCCAGACTCCCTGAATTTGATTCTAGACCATTGCTTGGTGAATATAGTGCTAATTGATCTTCAGTTTTAAAATTTACTGTACCATTCCACTATTTATCTTTTCTTTCACAAAATTTAGTTTCATTTCAAGATGTTTGAATCAGGATTGTTAGTAACTTGTATAGCAGATTGGTTATCTTCTGGAATGGAACACTTTCATTTATTTCAATGAAATCAAAATGAATTAAAATTTTCTTTAAGTAATGTGCCTCTTTGACTGCAATCATTAGTGCTACATATTCTGATTCAGTAGAAGAGATCGACACACTTTGCTGTTTCTTACTGGCCACTATTGTGCAGTTATATAATTTGAACATATACCCTGTTGTTATAGATTTATATCCCTACCCCAGTCTGAATTTACATACCCTCTTAAAACAGTACTTATTTCCTTCCAATTTAAAAAGAAAAAAATTAAGTGTGTCATTCACATATTAGCTATTTTCGGGTTCGAAAAAAGGACGGTTCTGGAACGGTTTAAAACAATCCCACCCCAACTAGCATTTTGGTGCAATAGACCACCACTCAAGAAAAAGTTACCTAAATTTGTCAAGTTTTAGTAATTATTTCCTTAAATAATGTTATTAAAGTAAAATATGTCTTCAAGCGTTGAGTTGGAATTCCAAAACTAGTAATGGTATACCTGATTATAGTCCTAGAAGACATTTGACTAAGAAGTTGAAACTATTGGTTCAAAACTACTAAATATTCACTTTCTAAAAGCGTTTGAAGAATTCCGGTTTTCAAACCCAATTTAAGGGGTCATAACTTACTCAATATCAACCTAAAATAGGTACTCGAAGTTAGGTTTTTTTTTTGTCATCCTAGCAAGTAAAAATTAACCCATTTTTTACCAAGAAAAAATCCTTCCAAGTTATTTAGGCATATTGGTAAAAAATTGGTCAAAGTGTCTGCTAAATAGCCTTATTACAGACCTTGAGGTTAAAAGGATTTTTTTTGGTAAATATTTGGCCTAATTTTAACTTTGTAATTGGACTTTAAAGAAAATAGTTCTAGTTCCAGGGACCTATAAGGTATAAAAGTCTTGATTAAGGTCAAAAATAACTTGCAAAAATGTTCTCAAAGTTAATGCTCCCAAAAATAGCTTTCAATGACAAATATTTCTCCCACTGCTATAATGTTTTCTTCTAAATTAGAATTTCTTGTGTTATAACCTATAACCTAAATAATATCTTTGCTGTGGTTGCGTTTCCTTAGTGTGTTCGATCGCCCTTGTTACTTTCAAGAACATGTCTAAAGAGTTGAAAACCAAAAGGACCAAAATGCTTAAAGGATCACGTCACAGTATTATAGAGTAGTTAAAAAGAATTATGCCACTCAAAGACCTATATCGCCGAAAAACATTGTATCACCCCATACATTTCCAAATGTTCATTTAACAAAAAGCCAACAATTCCAACAAGTAGTCTTGGTGATATTGGTGGTAATCAGAATGTTGATGCTGATTACATAAAATTGGCCTACGAAAATGAGGTTTAATGAGATTCAGCAGGGGCGCTTTCATTTATGCATTATCGGTTATCGGACCTAGTTCTGGCCCGGCTTTTATTTAAATTTACCTAAAAGTAATTTTTAGGTCTTAAAATGGGTAAATTTAACCACAAAGTTAATAAACACGTTATTTGGACCTGCATTCTGGAAAATATATGCTATTGGTTAATAGTTATGGGAAAAAGTCCCTATAGGTCGAAATTGTGAAAGTAGCCATATTAATTAATCCACTATTATCAAAATTTTATCAAAAATATTCTATAATATGTTTCAAATATATCATTTTAGCCCTTCCAAAAGCAAGTAAATCAAATAAAAACACATTTCAGGGTATATGGTTAACAGCTTACTTCTAATAACAAAGCAAATTTATTTTGAGGTTATGTGAGTATCAGAATATCAACAAAAATAATTAATAAAATTCCTCGAAAACGCTTATTTCAAGGGCGCCTTAATTTTATGTGAATATTTTGTCCACATTTCACGAAAAAAATCGCTCCGCATAGAATTTTTGTTTCACAGTGCTGGGTATACGTACTAACTACAATTAATTCCATTATTTCCATTGAATTATTACTATACGGTATACGGAAGCCATTACTTCAACAAGTTTAACTAAAAGCAAGAATTAAACCTCAAACACCAGCAGACATCATATTTATAACCAATAGGTTTCTATTATTTTGAAAAGAAAAAGACGGAGAGCGTGTTTTGGTGATTGTTGTTTGATTTAGGTCAGATTTATGTCATACCATTCGAATAAATGTCTGCGGATTTACCACAAAATAACCTAAACAGTACTATATTTTCTTTTTGGTATTTTTGACCAATTGGTTATAAATATCTTATCAACTTAATATTGACTTCTAAATTACTTCAGTTCTTTTCCCCACTTTGGGAAAAAGGAAAACAAATGGAAGTAAATAATCCCTATTTGAAATTGGTCATGCAAAATTTTCGACCAGTTCAGTGGTCAAATGGAAGTAATTTTAACCTTGATTGTTTGTTGAGATTATTATTGAAATTTGTGATAACTGAGCCGTTGTCATTTTGTTGATTGATGAACTGTGCGATTGTTTTGAACCGTTCTAGAACCGTTCTTTTTTCGAACTCGAAAATAAAGTCCGTCTTTTTTTTAAAAGATAATTCCCCAAGTCAAAAATTTAGTAACAATGTTGGCAACACAAGCCTCTTCTACATAAAAAATTTGAAAGCATTGACAATTTTACATTGTATTAAACATAAACATAATATTTATTCATGCTGATACACCTACATCATAGTGTTTACATACGTCAGGAGAGAACAAAAAGAGTTTTGATACAATATTTGAGAGAAGTTGAAAACAATTTTTCCATGAACTAACTAATACATATTCTATACAATATTAAACAGAGTACCTGCATACTATTTATAATTATTCTTATATTATACTATTTATATAAACATTTGCGAAGTGCAGCTACAAGATGTCCGAGAAGTTATCTTCATAAAACTGGTCAACTAAGTAAAAACATTTTCTTATCAAGTAAGTTTCAACAATGATATTAAATTTTTTAGGAGGTAACACCCTCACAGTGGCAGGCAGGGCGTTGAATAATTTTGGTCCATAGAATGATGTGCCTGTTTTTATTTTGTTTATTCTGTGATAATCAGTATAAATATCTACTCTGTTTTGTGTGCTGTAAGAATGTACACTTTCATGTGTACAATATTATTCAAGATGTTCCCTTGTATATACTTAGCAGTGAAATATATATATGCAAGGTACACTCAATAGGTTGAATTTCCTGAAATCACCCCTACAGTCATCCCGATAGCCTAACCTACACATAGCTCTTATGGCCTTACGTTGTAGACGAAACAATCTTTTAATATTTGGAGAATGGCCCCACACTAATATTGCATATGAAATTCTAGACTCTATGAAAGCGTGATAAATATTTTTTAGTACCACTTCAGAGACCACCCCGACCAGATTTCTTAGTGCAAAAACGCCAGAGGCTACTCTATCACAAATTTTATCTACATGTATATTCCAAGTCAATCGCGGGTCTATGTAAACGCCTAGAAAACGAACTGCCTCTGACATTTCAAGACCTTCCAGATTTCTCATAGAGAAGTACATAATCTCTGTCTTTGTTTTGTTGAGATTGAGTTGGTTACTGTAGAACCATTCAGAGACACTTGACTGTGTCTGCATCATGATCACCTTTAAATCATCACTTGAGTGAGCCCTTTTTATTGCAGTAGTGTCGTCCGTGAACAACACCATTTCAGTGCCAGGAACACTGCTCTCCAGATCGTTGACATATATCAGGAAGAGCAGCGGTCCCAGCACCGAACCCTGCAGCACTCCATAAAAAACCTCCTGCAGTTCAGACAATGGACCACTACAATCAACAAGTTGTTTCCTATTACTTAAGTACAAAGCCATCAGATCTATACTGCTATTATTGAATTTATATAATTTTAATTTCTTTATTAGTAATTGTGGGGAGACACAGTCAAATGCCTTCGTGAGATCACACAGCAGTGCCCC